GAGAGAGAGACAGAGAGAGAGAGAGAGACAGAGAGAGAGAGACAGAGAGAGAGAGAGACAGAGAGAGAGAGAGACAGAGAGAGAGAGAGAGACAGACAGAGACAGACAGAGAGAGGGGGAGAGAGAGAGAAAGAGAGAGTCTACCATTTTGCTCAACTGTTGTGTTTAAAAGACACAGCACCAGAAAAGAATATGCACTCTGGATTTGATGTGGTCATTCAATGCTGGGAATTGACCTCAGGACTTTCAGGACATTAAGTTAAGAGTGTTCCCAAGGTTACCGAGTCATCTCAGATCTGTGAATCCAAGAAGTGCTGCTGTGTAGAAGCCCAGGTTTGACAAGGAAAGGCATGCACACTCTCCAGGCACATGGCCACCAGAGACGCCTTGGCTGAAACCCACTAAAGGGAGCCAAGCAAGTGGCTCACCACAGAGTGTGAGAAGAACAGAGGCACCTGGTGGACAGCAGGCCAAACAGAACAGCGCAGGAATTGGGTGAGGCTTCAGCCCTCCTTCCTAACCTTTCTGCAGCCTGCTTATGAAACAGTCTTAGCTATCTGTGTCTCAGAATCCCGAGCTTTCAAATTGTAAATATGGTGTATAAACTTAATAAATCCTCCTGGGAAAACTGGATATCCAGGTAAAAAAACTAAATTACCTAAGAATGCTCTATCTCACAGTATACAAAAATTAACTCAAAATAGATCTCAGTGTAGCACCCACAGCCATGAAAACATGAGAAGCAAGCATAGAGAAAAATTTGTGACATTAAGATAGGTAAAGACATTTTGATTAAGTTGCCAAACAGGCAACAAAAGCAAAACAGAGACAGATGTTATTACATCAAGCTAAGAAGTTTCTGTAAAGCAAAGGGAACCGAGAGAGAGAGCTGAGAGACAACACAGAATGGGAAAAGATTGCGAAGTATTTATCTCACAAAGGATTAATTCCCAGAATACATAAGGGACCCAAAGAACTCAACAGCAAGAAACCAATAAGCGCATGTAAAATGGACAAATAATTTAGACAGATATTTCTCAAATGATGTACTTCAATTCATGAATTTAATTCATTCCACGATTCTGGGCAAGATGGCTGCATCTGTGTTTCTCATCCTGTGTGGAGTTTGTGAACAGAAGAAAAATTTTGCTGAAAGCTTCTGTTAACAAACTGAATTATTCACAAAAGAAGTGTTCATAAGCCAATATATTACTGTTCATGAAAAAATGTTCAATAACAGTAATCATCCTGGAAATGTAAGTCAAAACTACAATGAAATATCTAACCCTAGTCAGAATGGCTATCCTTAAAACAACCAAAAAAAGAAAAAAAAAAGCTAGTGAGAATACAGAGAACGTAAAATTTTCATATATCATTGATGGGAATGTAAATTAATATAGTTATTATGGAAAATAGTATAAGGGTTCCTCAAAACACTAAAAGTGAAATTATATATAATCAACAATTTCACTTCAGCATACATATCCAGAAGAAATGCTAATATCTGTTCCTCAAACAGACATCTGACCACCCATGTTTATTATAATAGCATGCGCAAAAGAAGGCAACCAACCAATGAGCCAACAATAGAACGATGAATATGACATGTCCTCTCTCATTTGCAGAAACCAAAAACATTAATCATGTAGAGGCAGAGAGTAAAATAAAGGCAGTAGAGGCAGAGCATGGATAATGATACCAAAACACCGACAGGCCAACCTAATTGTAGCGTTATATGAAATAGAGCAACTATAATCAATGACAATTAATTGTGTGTTTCAAAATAACTAGAGCTTGAATATCCCAACATGTTGAAATGAGATGGAACAATATTTGAAGAGCTGGAAATGCTAACTGCACTGATTTTATCATTACACATTGTACATATGGTTGAATCACAATATTGTATCCATATATATGTAACAATATTATATGTCAAGTTTTAAAGCTTTATTAGTAGACATTTGCAGTACTTACTGCTTCCATTCCTTGGATGGAGTTGTTACCCCTATATAACCTTAATTCCATTTTCATCCTCTTGCCCTGTCCTCCCTTCCTTGTCCATCTCTTCATCCCTTCCCCATTTCAAGAAGATCTATTTCCCTACTTCCTACTACATACCTCTTGATTTGCTCTTTATTTGTTATGTGCGCTATCCACATAAGCAAAACCACATGATGTTTGAGATTGTGTATCTGATTTATTTCACTTAACATGATGGCCTCAAGATACATCCATATTCCTACAAATGACTCAAGTTTATCTTCTTTTATTGCAGAGTAGTACTCAGTTATACATAAATACATTTTCTTTAGCCACTTATCTGTTTATGTACCTCCCAATGAATTATACTGTTATAAACACAGTTATGTATATATGTAAACTAGTGTAATCACTATGGAAATCAATGCAGAGTTCTTCAAAAAAATAAACCTAGAAATTTTTTGACCTAGCTATTCCCCTTCAAGGTAGCTTCCCAAAAGTGATAAATTCATCATATTACAATGATATAGTTCAATGCTTAAATTTTAGAGTTTTAAAAAATTTATTCATTTGGTACAAGGTCTAGCTACCCAGCTCTTAATGATCTTCTTCTCTGTCTCCCCATGTGCTAGTAAAAATGTACAACATAGAAAATAAGGAGACTGATAGAAATAAAATGGTGAAGTATTTAAAAACAAAGACTTGCCTCCCTTGCACGAGTTTTTATCAGAACATGTAACTTTACAACGAGATCACACACAAGTGAGATGCAACAAGGCTCTTTGAATACGAATGAAGAATTAGACTTAAATGCTGCGGCTCTAAGAATTCACACCCATATTAGTAACTAAACTTTTCCTGGGGTCACTCACTAACAACATTATATAATGTAGATGATATTATATAAGAGATAAATTATATGTGACTGATTTCTATAATTTTTTTTGTATTTAGGACAGGGTGCACAGGGTGTACAGGGTCTCACTGCATAGATCAGATGCCTAGTGATTCTCCTATTTACAGCCTCCCAAGTGCTGGGATGACAGGCGCGTGTCACCACACCCAGTCTCAATTACCGTCTCAGCATGCCCTGGGGACTGGGCTGGCACGGCAGGCCAGGGGATCGAACTCCTGGCCCCTGTATCTGCCTAAGCAGGCACTTTAATCCACTGAGCTATTTGGCTGGCCCATGTAATTTATTGACAAGTTAAAAGTAATATTGGGCTGATCTAGCCCTGTTTATTTTATCCCAATCTTTTTATTTAATTATGCTCTTTTGTGGGCAGTTGAGATTCAAACATAGAGGCTTTCTGACTTTCTAGTGAAGAAATAATGCAAAACAGAAACACACATTGTGCTTGCTCTAAACCTGACAGGCTATAGACATGATTTGAATCTCTTAGGAAGATCCTTGAGGCATCAGAGTTCTTTCTGGCACATAAAGGTCCAGCATGGGTTTTCCCATTACATCTAGAACAGTTTCTCTTCTTTCACATGAAAAAATGCTGGGCTGACTCACCATGCATTGCTTGTTTTTTTAACATACAGTCAAGCTATTGGTGAGAAAATAGAGATGTCTTACTCTGGTCTTCTCTTCTAGCTGACCTCTCAGTTCTTCAATTTGCCGAGTGAAGTGACTCTTTTCCCTAGAGAGCTGATTTAACAGAGCCTCTTTTTCTTCCAGCTTCTTTAAGAACTCACCTATGGAAGGATTTCACAAAATAAGTTAATCCTGGTTTTTCTTAGTGATATCCTTCTTCCCCTACTTAACTTACTGATATGGGCAGCTGGAATGACTCCTATCCTAATATTTTGATTTTTAGGAAATGAACTGGGAGTCTTGCTATTAGTAAGACTAACAAGGCAGCCCTAAAAGAAGAGCTGATTTTTAATAGTAAGTATGAGTAAATAATAGATGATATTAGTGACTGCTTATGGAGAGTCTTCTATGTTGCAGGCACTTTATCTATGTTACTTTAATTCTCACAACTCCTAAATACTTTAAGTGTTATATTCCTTATTTTATAGAGGAAGAAAATGTTGCAACTTTATCAAATATGACTGTGGAAAGCAATATAGATAGCTCATTAGTGGAGGAAGCTGCAAATTAAGTTCTTATTCTGAAGAAAATTTTTTTCTCCTAGGCCATGCTCCCCTGTTTATCATGCTTGGCTCTACCAATTTCTGGTGGCATAATTTGTATATAATTACAATTTCTGCCTAATTTATAAACTGAAGACAGTGAGGTAATGCAAGATGAAAATTAAGGGAGTATAAATGTTTACTGCAGACTGAATTGCTCAATAAATATTAATAATAATCATTATATGGCAAGAAATGTGGTTGATGAGAGAGGAAAATTGTACAACAATCTAAACTATCTCCCTGCTTAAGCTATTTGATTAATTATAGCACAGATACACCAAGGTTATCACAAATGGTTCAAAAGGCTGAGGCAAACCCAGACAAAAGTAGTTGTTTCCATTAGTACAAGCAGTTCAGCACTAAAACCCCAGCATATTCTGCAGAGCTCTGGGTCCAATCTTCAGTGCAAAAATACAAACCCCATTATACTTATGGTTCTCACTTTTCTGCCTACAAACTAGTTATAAATCAACTCTCTCACATTCCTATAAGGAAGAATCTGGTTGAGTAGATTAAGCAATTCCCAAACATTTTTGGTTTCAGAAACACTATTCTGCTTAAAAAAATTATTGAAGACACTAAAGAAATTTTGTTCATGTGAGTTTTATGTTAGTGGTACATATGAAATTAGAACAGAGAAGCTTAAAATTTGTAATAATCTAATTTAAAATAATAATTAAAATGGCATATAGTATTAATATTTAATATATGTAATAGTAAAGGAGGAGATCTATATTTTTTAAAGCAAAATGATGAATGACATAGCTCTACATATTATATTAGGTAACAGACACATGGTTGGAGACATGTAGTGGCATACCTAATAGTCTTTTTTAGACATTTTGATTATTTGATAATGTACCAAAGCTCAACAAATGAAAGTCTTTTAAGAGTTACTAACAATATGTAACCAAACTATATGAATGAAATTGTTTATTCATTTACATTAATTAAAATCAAATGATAGGTCTTAAATTTAAATCAATCGCTGTCATGTTATTTTGTTACATCATGCAGGGGTTATTTGAAAAAATATATATTCATTTAACATATTCAGTTCTTCTAAATGTTGATGCATTTCCATATACACCATAAAAAGGGAGAATAAAGCTTTTTTCCTGTACTCTTATACGGTCAACATTTGTGACACCAGCTGTGACTTCCCTACACTGTGAAATTTGCCAGTGGTTAGTACAACTTAACTCATTTATGCACTTATTGCCTAGAGATAGCATCAAGTTCATGAGGTGAGAACACAGTTCATAAGACCTCACCCCACTCCAGATGCCAATCACAAGTCCAGATGGCCACCAATACTTCTGACCTATTAACTGACTCTCCCCTCAGATTCAATTAAGTTGCTAAGTTAGCTTCACAAATTCAAAGAAACTTACTTACACTTGTTTAATAAAAATGATGCAGATGACAATCCAGTTGGAGGAGATGCATAGGACCGGGTACAGGAGAAGGAGTACAGAGGCTCCATTTAGGCGACCACATTTCAGGAACCACAATGTGTTTAGCAATGACAAAATGAAGCCTACTTATTTGGGGGTTTGGGGGAGGCCTTGTTCTTTAGCAGAATCATTAAATCATTAGTTACTGGTGATCAGCTAAACTTTTAGCCATTTTTCCTCCTGAAAGGTCGGGGTTAGGCTGAAGGTACCAAAGTTCTAATAGTGGCCTTCATCCTGAGGCTGTTGCAGCCACCAGTTATCTCATAAGCACACAAGACACTCATCACCGCAACCAATGTAAGAGTTTTAGGAGCAGCGTATCAGGAACCCAGGATAGATGAATATGTTACATGTATGGACATATATAATAAATCACAATATCATATACAATATAAAAATGTGTTCTTATCACCAATGGTCTCATCAGAATCATTTTTAAGAATTCAAATTCTTCAAGCTCATGGTAATGTATGCATATTTTCCAAAACTCATGTTTTGCCTGAATACTCTTATTTCTTGGGCAGCACATGTTGTCAGTTGTTTTCCTATAGTGGCAGGCATCCTTTGATCACACGTATAAGCTTGCATAAGCATAGTTCATTTGTTCTTTCAAGTTAAAGCAGTACTTTCTGAAAAAACCAGCAACGTTCTTTGACAATCAAATATTGCGCTTCAATCTAAAACAAATTCTTTATGCGTATTTCTCACGCTGTCACATAAAGTATTAAAAGGTTATATATGGGTTTATAAGTAAGATATAAAAATTGACTTTTTTTCCTTCATTAAGGAGCTTCTTAGTTTTTATTTTTTTTAATTTATGTATTTGGTACAGGGTCTCACTTGCCGCTTGGATTTATAGTGATCTTCCTGTTTTCAGTCTTCCCAGCTCTGGGATTACAGGCATGTGCCACCACACCCAGACTTGGTTGCCAACTTAGCTGGCCCAGGGGTAGGGCCAGCACAACATGAGTACCAGCGATCTTACTGGGTATGGAATCCCTGTCCCTAAGCAGGTACTTAGTCCGCTGAGCTATCTCACTGGCCCAAGGAGCTTCTTAAATAAAACTGACTTTTTAAATTGTGAGTTTATATTGGTGAATACAATGACTATTAGCACAGTGCAGAGCTGGCTAGCCCTGTGATAAGGCTCTAGCAATTTTAACTATTAGTTCCTCTGCACTATCAATACAAATGAAAGAAGAATTTAAAAGCACATACAATCTAAGTATTATAATGAAATAGCTAAAACCTCATAGACCCCCTTAAAGGTCTTGAGGAATGCTGGGAGTCTGTGGACCAAACATTATAAATATTTGGGTGAAACATCCTACTTAAAGAGATTCTGAAGAAGTACAAATCCATTACATGATTGAGGCTAACAAAACAGTTGTGTCATAGGACCAATACCAAATTACACAGATAAATCATGTTTACTCTTGGTGTCCTCTGGAGGCAGAGTATGAGCAGCTCACAGGACAGGGCGTAAGAAAGAGTCTTTGGCAACAGCAGAAGAAATGCAGTGAAAAGCCGGGGGCATGGAGCTAATGAGGCAAAAGGCAGCTCAGATATGCACATACTTCGATTTAATTTACACAAAAGCAAAAGGCAAATGTAAAAATTAAAGGCTGGAATAAAAAGATCCTATATCCTAAGCAGAATTATCAGATCATACTGACTTCATTTCACTCACCCACTAATTTCCTTATCAAAATAATGAGTAGCATGTTAATCAATAATTATGAGGAAGCATCAAATTTCTATTAAAATAAGTTTCATACAAAACTTCCTTCAGAGCTATAGACACTAATGTTCTCTGACTTTGTTTTGAGGCTGTGAAGGTTACACTGATATCCTCAATAGCACAGAAAATGAAACTGGAAGATTTGTAACAAGGCCAAGTGCCGCTCACCTGGTTGGCAGTGTAAGAACAGTCCCATAGGATGCTCTTCCTGCAACTTAAATATTTTCACTTTTCTAGATTTCTAGGTGTTTAATTTTGATAAATGATTTTATTTTACCTTTCACCCTTGTTAACAGAAGAAGTCTGAGATTTCCTAAATCTAGTTATAGATGAGAAGTTGTGAGATAAGAAAGAATAAATTTATTTTGACTACAGCTTTGAGCTAAAGCAACAAAGAAAACTACACCACATTACTTTTCTGTACATTAAAGAATGGTCCTTAAAGAAATAGCATTCAACTAGTAGAACCAACCAGTCAAACACTAGCATGTCTTAACTTTCCAGTGTAGGAAGCAATAGCTTAATGTAAGTGATCATACATTATAAAATATCCTAACTTTTTAGATCTGATGGGCATTTTTCCAACTAGTTTTCCTCCTGGATGCTTAGGAAATTTGTTCTAAGACTATTTTTTTTATTTTTGTCTAGCCTCTCAATCCTTCCAACAAACCCTTTCATTTAAGAAATGTTATTTTAGTATACTAGATGTAGTACCTAAGAAAAGAAGTGTCTATTTAATTCAGTTGTTATAGAGCCTGAATGATGTTTACTCTCTGTGTAAAAGTCTGTGCCTCTGGGCATTAAAATGCATTGTGTATGTTCACTGAGTTAGGAATTCTGTGCTGGAAATAAATTTCTAAGAATACTAATTATAGATAGGTATCTATCGACATTCTATTCAAAGGAAAAAGGGCAAGTAACAAGACAAGACTAAGTAAACTATCATTCATCTGTTTGATATATGAAGAGATACAATGCAAATTGTTTGTAAGTGACCAAAAATGCAAAATATAAAAAGCTTGTAATAAATTTAAAAAGAAAACCACAAATATGTTGCTACAAAATAAAAGGTTGGTAAAAACAATAGCAATTGATTACAATATTCATGCGACATTTGTTTTAGTTTTAATTATTTGCTAAAAGTTTACAGAGCTCCAATCAGTACAAGGCAGTGGTCTAGACAATTGACATATGCCAGGGAACAGAACAGAGTCCAGCCCTCATGGAACTTGCTTTTTTGGCAGATGGAAGTAAAAAAATATTTTTTTATGCCACAAGTAGGAAAATTAAACATAGGTGACAAATACAAAAAGAGAAAACCGGAACATATCAGCATATTGAGCATATGAATTGAGAGTGCTCCAGTGCCGACTTTCAAAAGGACTAGCCTACCTTTCCCCAGATAGCTACTTGATTAACCCTTATGTCCAAGTCTTTGCAGAATTAGAAAGGAGTTCCAGGCTGAGGAAAGATCCAGGCCAAGACTTGAACATAGGACTGCATCTGGTGCATTTGAAGCACAGGGAAGAGGTCAGCATGGCTAAGGCAGAATGAGAGATGCACTATGACTTAGAAGAGGCCAGAAAGATAAGGAAGGGCCACTCCTTTAGGCCAGTTATGGCAAAGCTTTTAGAAATCAGTTGCCCACACTGCAACCCAAACCCCACTTATTTATTGCAAAGTGCTAACACTGCACTTAATGCCAAGTGCTTGGCTGCTGGGGACATGCTGGGGTACCTTGGCTCATGTGCCCACAGAGAGGGCCCTGCATGCACACTGCCACACAAATGCCATATGTTTGCCAACACTGGCATAAGTCGTTGTGCAGATTATGGCTGTAATTGAATATAAAAAAAGATGTAGGTTTATTATTACAAATTCAAAAAAATGTCTATTGAAAGGGGTAAAGTTGCTGGGGACAACCCACTCGGGCTCCCCTTATGTCTCTCTCTCAGACAGAAGCTTTCTTTTCCCCAATAAATACATTCTGCTCTTTAAAAAAGAACTATAGTTGTCTGAAAATAAAAGTATCATGTCATGTTTTGTAGCCTGCATGGACAAACCTTACTGTCCTCTGATTTTGAGAATGTCTTCTACCAACCACACAATTACTTTTGCTTTTGGCAGGATACCCAAAAGCAGCATTTAAGTGACCTTTCCCAGAAAAAAATATTGCCTGTGGACAAGGGTAACTAGAGGCTCTATTCCTCCCCTACAATCCTATAATCCACCAATCTGTGGGTAGTTACCCTCTGAGTTGTTCTCCAAGTCTCCCAAGTGAGGTAGACAATTGACTTACCACTCTCATTCTGTAGCTTTGTCTTCTGTGCTTTCAGGTCACTTGCCAACCAAGTCACTTCGTCTAGTTTTTCATTTGCTTCATTCAAGCGCACTTCATATAGACTACAGAGTTTCTCAGCATTTACCTACAATTTGAGAAAGAAGGGTTAACTGTGATGAATTAGCTGCACAAGGAAAAACTGGGTATGCTGTTGTGTATATTTAGATGCCCCCCCAAATTTATGTACTTGTAGGTACAGTGTTGGGGAGGTGATTAGATGGTGGGGCTATACTACTTATCAATGGATTGGTTGACTGATAATACCACAGTTAAATATCATTTGAGAGGTAAAGCCTACTTAGGGAAGATGGGTCACTGGGGATGTGGTCCAGGGCTATCTGCCTCCCTCCTCCTTTGATCCACCTCTCTCTGCTTCTTGCAGGCCATGCTATTAACTGTTTCTTCTTTGCCATGCCCCTCTGCCATGCTGCCCTGCCTTGGTGCCAATCTATGATGGATTGAAACCTCTATGAACTGTGAGCCAAAGTAAACCTCTCCCCATTAGAGTTGTAGGTTTTGGGTATCATGTCTCAGCATGAGAAAGTAATGAAGACAGGTAGTACTGGGACCTGAATGACCTCTTTCACAGCAAAGTCCTCAACTAGTGTCAGAAAATCATCCCAAAATTTAAACAAGTATGCTGAAGAGGCCTATCCTTCTTATAATATGAATGTTAGTGAAGAATTTCAACTCTCTGTGTAGCAGAAAATGCCCACTCCAGCCAGTCTGTTAGTTACCCAGGTAACACTTCCTGTTACTTTGAGTCCTAGAAATGGCTGGTCACCATGATACATAGCTGGTTACTACAATGCATACTGTAAGAACCAATCAAAGACAGCCACGTATCCTGCTTTTACACTGCCTGCTTGCTTATCCAAGCCACTGGAGATCACAGCCTGGTATTTTGGGAATGACCCTGATCAGTGCCCATTGATTTAAAATAATTCTGCCCCAAAATTCTGGTTATCAAGCCTTTCACAATAACATTCAAAAAGTGAAATACTTAGGAATTAATATAATGAAGTAAAATATTTATATAGTGAAAATGACAGTACTCTAAAAAAAAGTAGTCAAAGATGAATTCAGAAAATAGAAAGATTCCTTGCTTGTACATAGGAAGATCCAACATTGTGAAAATGACCATATGTACAAAATTGTTATGCAGATTTAATGAAATCCTGATTTTGAAAAAATGCCATTAGTATACCACACAGATCTAGAGAAAAAATTCCTAAAATTCATCTGGAGACAGAAGAGACCTAGAAGAACAAAAACAATCTTGAACAACAAACAAAAAGCAGGAGGCATCACAATTCCTGACTTGAAATTGTACTACAAAGCTACTGTGATAAAAATCTGCATGGTACTGGCAAAAAGTCCAGACCTGAGGATCAATGGAATAGATCTGAAGATGCAGACACAAATGCAAACACACTCAGCCACCTTATATTTGCTAAAGAGGCCAAATATGTTCAGTGGAAGAAAGATAGATTCTTTAGTAAATGGTGATGGAAAAATTTGGTTTCCACATGCCAAACACTAAATTACACCTATGTGTACCACCATGAACTAAAGTTGAAATGGATCGAAGATTTAAATGTTAAAAAAGAAACACTAAATATCTGAAAGGAGAAAATAAGTAGACATCTTGAAGATATAGTGGTATGCAGTTGATGAACAAAACCCAAATTTCATGGGAAATATTTCAAAAAATCAATAATTGGGATCCTATCTTTTTGAAAACTTTCTGCTTTTCAATAGAAATCACCAACAGAATAAAAAGAAAACCTACAAGTTGTGGCAAAAATTAGTCAACTGTCCCTCAGACAAAGGACTTCTATCTAAAACATATAAAGAACTTAAAAAAAATCAGTCCCCCCCCCAAATCAAAAGTCTGTCTGATCAAAAAATGGGCATCTGAAATGAATATACACTTCTCAGATGAAAAAAATAGAAGTGGCAAATAAATATATGAAAAAATGTTCAATATCACTGGTCATTCAAGAGATGCAAATTAAAACAGCAATGAGATTCCATGTTACCCCAGAAAGAATGGCTATCATCAAGAAGCCAAGCAAGAATTCTGGCGAGCTTGTGGGGGAAAAGGAATCCTTCTCCACTGTTGGTGGAAGTATAGACTGGTACAACCATGATAGAAATCAGTGTGGAGATTCCTCAAAAATCTATGATTATAAATTCCATTCAACTCACCTATTCCCTTCCTAGGTATTTTTCCAAATGAACTAAAAAGGGAGTATAGACTGGTGTGACCAGTGTGGAAATCAGTGTGGGATGCCTCAAAAACTCAGCACTGGAGGGTCCATTTGAACCAGCTACTCCCCTTTTTGGTATTATTCTGAAAGAATTAAAAGCATCATACCACAGCGATATATGCACACTCAGATTTCTAGCAGCACAGTTGTAATAGGTAAATCTTAGTAGTAGCTTGAATTCTTATCTACAAGTTCTGAAATGTTAAACTGATTTTACACAATAGTGAAACTCATCTAATATTCTTTGAATGCCTTCCATCTGCTCCAAGGTTGATGGTAATAATGACACTAATGATGATAATACTAGCAACAGTTAACACTTAATAGGTGCTTATTACTTAGCAGCTCTCCTCTAAACTCTTTATGTGTATTAAATTTAAATTCAAGTGTCAGACCTATTTATCCTTTATATACAAAAACAGGGAGAGGGAGATAGCTCAGTGGAGTAAGTGTTTACCTGGCAAGTGCAAGGTCCTGAGTTCAATCCCTGGTGCCACACACGAAAGAAAGAAAGAAAGAAAGAAAGAAAGAAAGAAAGAAAGAAAGAAAGAAAGAAGGAAGGAAAGAAGGAAAGAAAGAAAGAAAGAAAGAAAGAAAGAAAGAAAGAAAGAAAGAAAGAAAACCACCAAAATAAAGTGGCAATTCAAGAGCACTCTGAAGCCTAAAAGGGTGAAAGTTAGGGATAAGCTCACAGTCTCAGTGTTAATCTCACTGTCACAAAATAGCAACTGGAAAAATCCAAGAATATAAAAAGTTATATTAAGGCTTAGAGCCCTAAAAAAATTTCTGGATCAGCAAAATCCTTGACCATCTTTACCCAGCTGGAGCCAACACCGTACTGAAGATTGCTGTCTTATGCGCTTACCAGAGTGAGTGATCTAAGCTCCCTAGTACTCACACCTTCTTATCACTGTAAGACAGTTCTTCACCCACATTAGATCCTGCATAAATGCCTAGATCACTCAAGTCATTGCAGACTTTAATGACATGTTTACTGATGCTCAGTGATGTTTACTGAGATTTCATTTCTAATTTCCTAATATTCTTGATGCCTCAAGTTCATTTTTTAATCTGTTAAAGATATTACTTCCCAAAAGAGTGAAAGACATCATATTACAGTGGGCGTTATATGCACTCCCGTATTCATGGCAGCAAAATTCAGATAGCTAAAACCTGGAAGTGACCTACATGCCCACCAACAGATGAATGGATGAAGAAATGACATACTGATATATAGTGGAGTACTACTCTAGCATAAAGAAGGATCAACTTGTGTCATTTCTAAGAAAATAGATCTGCCTTGAGACCATCATATTAAGCAAAATAAATCAGACACATAAGCGTAAATACCACATGGTTTCTCTTATATGAGAAAAAAAAAGCTAAAGTACAGATAAAGAGCAAAATAAAAGATAATATAAAATAAGGAAATAGATCTTTTTGAAGTTGGAAGGTGATGATGGAATCAAATAAGGGGTAATAAATGAGATTAAAGAGAGAATCAAGGGCCGGGGGACGGCTCGGTATGACAAGCACTTCCCTGGCAAACACAAGAGTCTAAGTTCAATCCTTGGTTCCACCAAAAAAAAAAAAAAAAAAAGAAAGAAAGAAAGAATCAAGATGGTTTCGTATGTGTACTAATGTCCCACGAGGAATGTAATCATTATGTAAAGCAAGCATGTGCTGATAAAAATAAAAATAGGAAAATAAAGTTATTACCTACTGATTAGCAAACAAGGAACAATACAGGTCCCTGCCTCCTGGGAGACCTACCAGGAACACCATGCAGCCCTGCCTCACAGATGTCCCACCGAGAAACAGGCTGGTTGGTGATCATGAACCCACACCTGGCAGAGATTCAGTGACTAGGTCCTTATACAACTCCACCAAAGTCATGGAGACTGTAGGGTTGACACTAAAGGACCAGCGTGCTCAATTATCCACATGCTCCACACACTAAAACAAAGCTATGATAATGAAAATGTAATAGTATTTAGTTTGTTTGCATTTTTAAATCATATTTTGAATACTTACCATGCTTGCCCACACTTGCAAATATGACTTTTATAAAGTTGGCCCAACTCAATTTTCCCCCAATAACACACTTCAAAATTTCAACTTGGCTTCATCTTATAAATGGGAAAAGAGTATCAGAGAAATTTACTATCTTGTCCAAATTCACAAAGCTAGTTAAGTTTCAGAATTGATATTTGGACTGAAACTGTCTGTGCAGATGCAATTTAAAACAGGGAAGAAAATCAAAGGAGAAAAAAGAGTCAAATATTAAATTATTAAGCACCTTTTAAGGAGAAATGGAAACAACGGAAAAATAAAGAATCCACTGAGTGGGTGCACTGGTGGACTCAAATTCCCACAAACCCTGGACCACTGAAGAAACTATATGAAACATGGCCAAGTGTGTGGTCTTTGTGTAGCAGTATTTCTGATAATAAATGACAAAGTTTGAAGGAACAGGGCCACAGGTAAGAAATGGGACTTCTGTATATTTTAGCCTCGAATGTGCGTGTATACACCTGCTCAGAAAATATGACAGGGTAGCAGTCTCAGTAAGACCACTGTGAAGCATCTGTGGAAAAGGCAAGCAAGAAAAGCACAGAGAGACATTCTTCATCTTTTCAAGCCACATCCATGTGGTGACAGTCCACTACTGGGAGTGGTCAGGTCACTTGAGTGAAGAGACATAGCACATGCCTTTAGGCATAGCGTCACACAGTGAGTAATCGTGTACGCCTAACTATTAGCATAGTATTACTATAAATTTCTGAAGCATTTTTATAAGCAGGAATTATGA